TCTATCGCTTTATCGCTTAATCGCTTTTTCGCTCTATCGCTTTATCGCTCTATCACTTTCTCGCCTTGGTATATCGCTTTCTTGCTCTATCGCTTTATCGCTTTATCGCTTTCTCGCTCTATCGCTTTCTCGTCTCGTGCTATCGCTTTCTCGTCTCGCGTTATCGCTTTCTCGTCTCGCGTTATCGCTTTCTCGTCTCGTGCTATCGCTCTCTCGTCTCGCGTTATCGCTTTCTCGTCTCGCGTTATCGCTTTCTCGTCTCGCGTTATCGCTTTCTCGTCTTGTGCTATCGCTTTCTCGTCTCGTGATATCGCTCTCTCCCTTTCTCGCCTCCGAATTTTAAGGTGAGAAAGCGATGGCCCTAATCAGCCACCATAGTGGAGGGTGTCAGCTATTTTGTATATGGTAATATTAAAAAAATAAAGCTTAAAATTATGGGAAGGGGGGATTGATTTTGTACATGACTTGCAGTGTGTGTGTGTGTGTGGGGCAGCTGCTTTGTACATAAATCCTTGGGGTACATACACATTGTACATGTTACTCCATAAAAATCATCACCCCAACCCCCACCACCCAACAATCACCCCCAACCCCCTAGCCATAACTTATGAACGGTCCCTTAGAAGAGAAATTCATTTTCAGAAATTAGTCCTGAATCTTTACAAGCAGGCGGAACCATTTGTGATTGTGTTGTAATAGAGATTCACAAGAGAATCTGAGAACCATGCAGCGTTGAAGGTTATTATTTATCAATACTGTGTGACAAGAATTTCCACATGTTTATGACGGGTGTCACCGGTGGGGCAGGATACGCTCCTCACCTTTTTACGAACACCTGGTATCATCCCCATTTCATAGTGATCGTAAACACATGCTCTGTCATCGTATCGCATGGTGACAATCACTGGATTGTCTGTTCCAGACTCGACTTGTGTACAAACATCATCGTACAGTTATAATAGTGATCAAACAAATATATACTCATATAGTCACAATTGCACAATCGACTCTGCGTTTAGCAGAGATTTCTTGTGGATTTGGAAAGGGTTTTGTTGATTCTATTCAAGTCAGACACGTCTAATGTTACACACATTTCTCGAAACACTCTTTTCTCGCAGAGACCAAAAATACCATAAGGTTTGTGAGTGCGTATCTCTATCGGTGTCCATGTGAGTATTTACATGTGGATGTATGTGCCTGTGTGTATGAGTGTGTTTTTTCAACGTGTGGTATGTGAGACAGTGAGAACATCTTCGAAGATGATCTCTAACGAATAGTATACATACATTAACCGTCATTTATAGAATTAAGAAATACACAAGAGCTTCGCGTAAATGGACCACACTCAAGAAACTACACTCGCCCACTACTCCCATTCAGACACTACGTCTATAAACGTGTATGCTTGAAAATAGAAGAAAAAGAACAACCCGAAATCAAAACAAAAACAAAGATTAGAAAGTCGGGTCACTCTGGAAGCATTTCTTCGATATGCTTGCAAACAGTCATCATTGTGACTTTAGTAGTTTCACAGAAAACCAGTATCAATTTCACACAGATTGCACTCTGCACGGAGCAAAGGCCATTACTCTGTAAAATACCTTAAGACCCCAAACTTATTGTGGCCAGTAACACAAATGGGTACAATTTCAGGTCTCTAACTTAAACACTTTTTGAGAAAATTGTCCCAAAAGAACAATCCTGTCTGTACCATCTTTTCCTTTACGATGCCCGAGGGTAGCCTAGTGGTCGGGCATTTTGTCCTTGTCGCGCCGCAAGTCCCGGTTCCACTCCACACATGGGTACAATATGTAAGGCCCATTTCTTGTGTTCCCCGTTCTGGTATTGCTGGAATATTCAGGTACCTTTATTCTTTGTTCACACTGATCGTTCTCTGCTTGAATGTTGAACTTTCGAAGCTAAATTCCAACACCTTTCTGGATTAAAATCCGCCTCGGCGAACAAATCAAAGATTGCATGTTCTAAACATACCAGGGAGAGGGGAGAGAGCTTCTTTCTCTTCTTGTGTACAAAGCCATTTCCATGGAGATCTACTTTAATACTGCAGCTAGTGCTCTGGCAACAGTCAACATATTATGAAATCTTGCTCTGAACACAGACTTGTTATGCTTGTGTCCCAGTCTAAGTAAAGTTAGGGTCAATATTATTCGTTACACTGCCATGCTAAGTCTAACAAACCCCAGTAGAAGGTTGCGTCAGCTAACCCTTTGAATTGATCAATCAGAACACAGCTTATCAAATCGCTAAAGTTACCATTCGCACATACCGTTTGAAGTTTTACCTCGAAAACTCGAACAAATCCAAATGCTATTTCAGCACGAACGCTTCCGAGTGATACACATTGATAACGCATTATTCACAACAGCGAGTCAACAGTTGCTGAAAATAGCTTTTTGTCAATATTCCAGGATGGCATCTTGCGGAAATATAAGCTAACCGTAACCAAGTCATCAGAAACCCCTAAGCGTATATACTGCAGGTCAAATATGTGTGTTTTATGATGATTTTCGTTTGTTGAGAGGGATCAGTGTCAGCGACCAGGCAAGAGAAAATCAAAAAATCGTTTGTATATCCCACCGAACCCTAAATAGTAGCCGTTGTCTGATTGGTTACATACGTTCGTCCGTCTCGCGTTTGATTGGACGGTCATAGGTCGCTGAAAGATGAGCTGACGTGACCCCCTGCAAGGGTTTGTTGGACTCAGGATGGCAATGTAACGAATAATACTGAGCCTAAGTTTACTTAGTCTGGCATGTGTCCCAAAGTATTTTATGTTAGTTCTCGGTTAGGGCCGTTCAACGCGAAATCAGGACTCTGGTTTGTGGTTGAATAATATTCGAAAAGTTTCAGACTAATAATCAAGTGACAGAGCGGACCTCGGGATCGACTGGTCAATAAACCTGGACTGTCAAACGCCTCTGTAATTACATGCAAAAACAATCGGACGTTGACATGGTTGTTGGTGATAAAACGGTTCTAACCGTACGACATCAGTCTGCTCCTGTCGATCATCTAGTCTGAACTTCTGGTTAACCATTTCAGGCAGGACTGTTCATGGAGGTCGCTTTCGAAAAGATGTAAAGTACCATTTATAGATTAAACTGGGGTTTAAGGGTCCTGTCAGGAGGGAATATTAGGGTGTTCACATCGAAGGTTTGCTGAGACAATATGACATGAAGGCGCCTTAGAAAAAAAAAACATACCGCATTCTGGATAAGCATGAACGAATGTTATTCAAGTATTTTCCAATCTGAAACAAAGATACACGTTCCTCCCAGATTATTATGCTCTGTCACTTATTCCCCTTTTGTCTGTTTTGCAAACAGGTAATATATCTACAAATAATACGATTGAAAGATGACTTGATGACATATCATTTGCAGGAAATGGATGGGCTGCTGTTACTCACATTGACCTTGACGATGTCGTCTGTGACGATGCATATCATTCGCGAAGATGATGGATGCAAAAAAGGTAAATGCCACAATGGGATGTCCTGTATTCGACTGCTCTCAAAGGCATAATACATCAATACCCCAGTCTCTTCCAAGTGACACCTGTGAACTTTATCTCCGACGAAACAAAATCGAAGTGTTCCCTGCAGGTTCCATCAAACGGTACAGAATGTTGACACTCTTGGACTTGTCGCATAATAAGATTCATGAAATTCAAGATGGAGCTTTTGAGGGAGCACAGGAGCTACTGACGCTTTTCTTACATGATAATGCTCTGCACTTTTCAAATTCTTACGCAAAGATATTCAAACCCCTTAGAAAACTAGAAAATCTAACTCTTCATTACAACAACTTGTCCGATTATGCTGAGGAAGTATTGAGCGATCTTAGTTCTCTGCAACAGTTAAAGATGGATGGACTCCAAAACAGATCCTTTGGCCCTGGATATTGGAATCTCTCACAGCTCCATACGCTGATGTTATCTGGTAATTGCAACATTCAATGGTTAATCAAGGACACTTTCAGGAATGTAATCCATTTACGAAAACTCAATGTTTCTTCTTGCAACGTAACCACAATAGAGGCGGATGCACTGACACCCTTGAAGAACCTAACAATGTTGGACATATCTAAGAATCGTGCATTGAAACTAGGAGGTCTTGAAAATATAACGTATGGCTTAAAGGACACAACCATTCGAAAACTGTTTGTCAATGAGATAATGAATATCCGAACGATCTGCAATATTATTCAAGCAAGGCACATAAGGTACCTGCAGAATACATCAATTTTGGAAATACATGCAAATGGTAACGGTCTTTCCGGATTTGGTGAGAAAACGTTTGAGGTGCTGCCGCCATCACTAAAACGTGTTTACCTTCTGTGTAATCGATTTTCATTTGGCCCTTACATAGATGACCTCCAAAACCTCCTTGGCCTTGAAGTGTTGATTTTGAATGGTAAACCTGATCCCCTTCACATATTTCCCTATGGGACATTTTTGCCGCATCGGGCAATACACATGAATTATAAGCTTCCTGTACCCAACATGAATAATATTCAAGTAAAATGTGCTAATGCCTCTGACAGTATTGATAATCACGAGGATGAGTTTCTCCAAACCTTGTCCTCAGGACTGCAACGTTTTAGAACCAGTCATAAACATCCCTTTCCTGTCCCGCCCAATTTAAGAAAGTTCGAATACACATATTCTGAACTGTCAGCCTGTATTTCAGAGATCCACTTTGGAGAAAATAACTTACAAATTATTAATCTGTCAAGCAATGTCCTCACAATATGGCAGGGCCCCATATATGGCCTCCATAAATTAACTCATTTATCTCTATCTAACAACATTGCCCAATCTGTCTCCACCAACTTCTTTTCACAGCTGCCACAACTCAAGCACCTAGATCTATCTTTAAATTATTTAGGAACAAGTATTGCAAATGATCACGATGGAGAAATATTTCAGAATCTAACCAGGTTGAAATTCTTGAATATGAGGCAAAATAATATTTGGAAGGTACCCAAACGGTTGTTTAGGGGACTCCGCTCATTAAGCACTTTAGATCTGTCTATGAATAAAATTTGGAATTTTCCATCTAGTATCGCTCATACTAGGCTGCTCAGTACGCTCATTTTAAGCAACAACGAAATGTGGACAATGTATTCTAAGGACTTAGCCTTAATCGAAAGAATCACGAAAAATCGTAATTTCACCATAGATCTATCTGAGAATCGATTTTCCTGTAACTGTGACCTTATCCCATTCCTTAATTGGCTTGGAACAACGTCAGTGAAAATTGAAAATTATGACCGTTTTAACTGTACTTATGAAGGCTTCACCCTGAATATAGAAATGCATCGAGTTGACATTGTCCGTAAATTGTCTGAGACGTGTAGCGAACATTCTGGTCTTACAATGGGTATTGTTCTGCTCCTTTTCTTTATGACCTTAGTCGTTATTCTTTCAGCTATAGCATATCGATATCGATGGAAGCTTTCTTACTGGTATTATGCTACCAGATTACGGTTCAAAGCAGATAAAACCAATGAACCTGAATATGATTACGATGCATTTGTGTCGTTTGCTGAGGAGGACAGAACTTTTGTTTTTGAGGAATTAATTCCATCCTTGGAGACAGAGAAAGGATTGCATTTGAACATTCATAGTCGGGATTTCCTACCAGGGAGACCTATTGCCGAGAGTATTATTGACGTTATACAGAGAAGTCGGAAGACAGTGTTGGTACTGACCCCAGAGTTCTTGAAGAGCACGTGGTGCAGATATGAGCTGCAGATGGCCAACATGGAAAGTGTCACAACTGATAGAGACATCCTGGTGATCCTGGTAATAAGACATATCCCCAAATGTGATATTCCACCTGAAATCTTCTACCATTTTCACAATAACACGTATCTAGAATACCCGGATGATGGACAGACTGACTTATTTTGGACGACTTTGTCACATTCGATCAAAACGACTTAAAGTGTATTAAGTTCACAATGTATGATAATCGCTGATCGTAGAAGAAGCTGCATCAGTATCTTTAGGCCATACTGCTACAATGAATTTATGTTGCTGACATGTATTGATCTGTGACATGATGAAAACAAACTGAAAGTAAACAGCTGTTCGATTGAGCTGAGGTTTACTTGCTGTGTTACACGAATTTCAATGACAACATAACTTTGAAGCTTTTTGCTTAGTAATAGGCAGCAAGAAAATACAGAAATCCATTTGTAGCATGGATATCATCTTGATGGGGAATATGGGATGTTATCTGAAGCTCAGAAATGTACTAGTATGCTCTGATCGTGTTCACGGGAACCAATCAAATCGCATCATTGCTGTGAGATAATATATCCTGCCCAATGTTTGGTGGGTGATCAAATCTGAATGGTCAATTGAAAAGAGATTATACCGATGCGCAATGATTTGGTAATCTCTGTAGTACATCAATATTTTAATGATTGGGTCAATGGAAAAATGTACTTTATGTGTTTCAAAGAGAATCGTTGCACATCAAAATCACATGATTTGCTGCTGAGGATTGCAACAACGGAATGCACGTGTGATCATTCAGTGTCTAAAGACGACGTTTGACGACCGTTGAATTATGCCGCTACATAGGCGAAAGAACCTGACCCTTGATGTCATCAACAGTACATGGAATCGATTCCAGACGCTTGGAACAGCTATCGGGAGACACACAAGTCGTCGACAATGTTCCAATACACAACGGGAAGACTGGCAGTGCTTTCTCCTGACGTTATCAATTTGAGCCTGCCGTGGCTCTCAGAATTACCGTGCTGAAGGCCATATGCGTTAACGTGCCTCCTTAGACTCTCGGAATATATATAAGTTTGGTTGTGACAAATGTACCCATTTCAATTGAAAAGGAGCCCAAGGGAGACCAGAGATTCAGATCCTCCCCGAACCTGAGGGAATCTAGACTTGCTTCATTTAGACCTTTAGCATTGCCGGGAGGGCTAGGCTATAGGAACGATGTAGTTCAGGGACTGTGAGACAGTCAAGTGCCTCCTCTGCGAGTAAGTAATCAACTCATGGAGACTGATGTCAGATTACAGAATGCATGCATGTGCATTACAAGGACTAGACATCACGTATTGATTGAAGAACAAGTCATCCGGACAGACCAGGATTGGGGTCCAGTACGTTTCATGGTACTCGATGAATAGAGAAGTGGAGGGAGAGGTGGTGGTGTGAATCATAATGTTTGGTGGGATCGACAGAACTGTAAGAACCGTCATGCAACGGGACAAACTTACAACTGAGTGCACATTGAGACCACTTGCTGGTGCTGTAGGATCGGACTTTGTCCTCCTGGGTGATAACGCATGACCCCTTCGTACAAAGTTCTTGTGTCCACTTAGAACAGGAATCAACTGTTCGCGCTGAGAGCTCAGCTCGGTCATCGGACTTCAACCCCATCGGACACATGTGTCATACAGGCTGAAGATCGCCCTTTGTATAGGAACTCGATAACTCTACAGGAACTTGCTAATACTTTTAGTCGATAGTGGAACGAGTTTCCTTTGTCATGTATTCAGACCTTTACTGAGGGCATGAGACGACCATGTCGGGCTGTGATCGCATCAGGTGGAACCCGTGAAGATCCATGTTAGAATTGGTTTTCAGCAACCCATGTTTGTCGTAGGAGGCGACTAACGGGATTGGGTGGTCAGGCGCACTGACTTGGTTGACACATATGTCATCGTATCGCAATTGCGTAGTGCGATGCTCATGCTGCTGATCACTGAATTGTCTGGTCCAGATTCAATCACTTACAGACCATCGTCATATAGCTTGAATATTGCTGAGTGCGGCGTAAAACAACAACCAAACCAAACCAAAGCACCAGGTGGATTACACACGCCCGACAGAGAGACAGAGAAATAATGTATTTTGTTTATGATCATATATTCTCATTGTGACAGGGTTGTGGTCTGAGTGACAGGGTTATTGGTCACGCGGTCAGATTCGCATTATGTAGACCATGAAACGGACCTTTGTTCTTTGAACATTTTTCTGTACAATAATGTCTCTGGGTATTTCAACAGATGCATATGATATCATTTTTATAGTAGTGATCCTTAGCAAACACTGAGTTGTATATATCGTTTTACCTGTTATAAATGCACCAGATACAGTATTCCTAGAAATTAGCAGCTGGTATTATTACTTTATTGCTTACTGATTTATTATATATGTTTATTTGTACATACATGCATATATGTACATAACGTGTTGGAGAAGGTAATACATGTGTACAATTAGCCCTGTAACGTTTTCATACGTGTAAATAGCTTGTAAGGAAGTTATACTGATCAAATAACTGATTTTCGTTATTCTATGTGATTGTCGTACTTGTTTTCCTTCCATTGAATTAATTATTGGTTGTTCTCGTCAACAATATGTGTACAATGTCATCAATAGATGCCTGGAACTGAAATAGTTTCCATCAAACCAAACGTGGTACCACCTACAAACAGATACCCGATTCGTCTTGTAATGTATGTTCCAGCTGTATATAATCTACAACATTAAAAAACCTGACCCCAACAGTATTGTTAATGTTTGTTTTCAGTATCTGTGTCAGTGACAATGACATGTAGGCTTTTTGATTTGGCCGTAAAACGTGAAACATGCGTGAAACACAACGACCACCGAGCTGTATGATCACCGTAGGGGCCGTTCATAATATATGGCTAAGGGGTGATAATGATTTTAAGGGGAGGTCACCCATTTGTTCTGGAAAGGTGGAGGGTGGGGGTGCGGGGTGTGTCATCCTACACATTAAACAGGAACATACATGGTAATTATAAGTTTGAATAAAAAAGGCGAGTACGCTGCTACCTTACAACTCAGCAACGTGAGCATGGCATAGGTAGGTATGTTTGATGCTGGACAATCTGCTGCAGCAGTTGCACATGCCCTGGGTTCTAGTTGTCAGGAAATACATAGTCTGATGACCCGTGTGCAACCGACTTGCACCGTTTGCAGTTTGTCCATGATCATATGAAAATGACGTACAAATCAGGTTACGTAATTTCCGCAAAAGATGTGTGACTGCAGCCTCCACAAGCAGACAGTTGGTCAGGTAGATTCGTCAGCACAGACCATCAGGAATCGACTGCACACGGCACGTATCCGAGCTAAGATAATCATACACAGGGCTCATCCTGTCGTGCACAATGTTTACGATTTGTCCGCCAGATTCAACATGAGGCTGTGGAGCATGATTGTCTTCAATGTGGCACAAGTTAAAGTTTAAGTTTGCTTGTTTGTTGTTACTCGCTGCACCCAGCATCACTCCAGCTGCATCTACAGGACTATTAATAATCCAGCCTCAACCAATGGTTGATATCATGAACATCGATCAACGCTATTGGTACACGATGACATGAAGCAGTCACCATGCCAACCACCGTGTCCTGTTTGTCGCCCTCGAGTTACAGAGGGCCAATCCAACCCTATGTCATTACAATATGTTCGTTTTGCTTTTGACTTCTTATCAGTCATATCAGTTGATACTTCAATCTGACGTGACCCAACATGGGATTTTCTCAAGTCTTTGTTGTTTAACGGTACGGAACTTAGATAAGATATATGTGAGATGGATTTTATTCCTGGACTTTTCGAGGCTTAGGATAATGTTGTGTGAGTACAGTCATACGGAAAATGCAAAACTTAGCATATCACTACCTGATTATAAACACTTAGCAGCAAAAGAAACCTCAGTTTGGAGTTTTCCTTCGCAGAAACGGATAACTGTAAACTCATTTAATGTTTTGATTGTATATTATTGACAACATCTCCAATGTTACCTGAGCAAAGACATTCCTTCCCAAACTCAGAATGGAACCAATGGTCTCAAAAACGTAACCTGATCTCGGAGATGGTACGGTGTTCTCCATGTTTTTCATGCAACTCATGCTGCACGTGCTGCTCACAAGGACCAGCCCTATAAAATGCACCCCCCCAAACCTGGTCTTGAAACATTCACATTACAACGTCAGCAGGATGCCGCAACTCACGACAGCTTAGAGGAACCCGGCGCTAGGAGACTGGCCACACTGCACAAGCTGTTGCCAATCACTTCAAGGTCAACGTTCAGACCATCTACAGGCTGCAGCAACGTTTCCGGGTCACCAGCACCACAAATGATCGCCCCCGTACTGGCAGACCAAGGGTGACCACAAGACGACAAGACCGCCATGTTGTGCGACAGCATGTACAGAATCCCTTCATGCAGGCATCCGAAACAGCACGCCAGACAGTGGGAACACACGGAAGACCAATCAGTACTGATACAGTACGCCGACGTCTTAACAGCGGTAACCTCCATTGCCGTAGACCTTACCGTGGACCTATCCTCACCCCTTGTCATCGGCGTGAACGTCTACAGTTTACCCTACAACACCAACACTGGCGATACAGGCAATGGAGAACTGTTCTGTTCACAGATGAGTCGGTACTGCGTATCAACTGCAGATGGCAGAACAAGAATATGGCGACGACGTGGCCAGCGTTACTCAGACCAGTGTGTTATGGAAAAAGACTCATGGGGAGGTGCAAGCATCATGGTATGGGGTGGAATAGGCCAGAACCAGAGAGTGGGTCCTGTGGTGTTCCAGAACCTTGGTCCAGGGAGAGGAGGCGGCATCACAGCGGTGCGCTACATCGACCAAGCTCTCAGACCCCACGTCATACCACATTTCGCACGTCACCGGAACAACATTTTCCAGCATGATAACGCCCGGGCCCATACTGCCAGAACTACACGGGACTTCCTACAGCAGAACGGTATCAACATTATGCAGTGGCCAGCCCTTGGTCCTGATTTACACCCAATTGAACATATTTGGGACGAAATTCAATAGGAGACTGAATAATGTCATACCAAGGCCGAACACAGCCGATTTATTGAGCCAGGCCTTTCTCAGAGTGTGGTTCCAGGTGCCAATGGCTCTCATCAATCGACTGGTGCACTCCATGCATAGACGCTGTGCTGCAGTTATTGCCGCTGGTGGTGGTCACACTAGATACTGATGTCAAGGGTCTGAATGGACTGCAAACGTTTACGTAATGTCTTGGAATTGTGTGAGTTATTCATCGATGTGTCAAAATATTGTACACAGAAATGTTTTTGAGCCGCTTATTATGTCCATTTCTGTAATGATTTGATTACAGTGCCTATCTAAGTTTGAATTCGTATTGACGTTTTTTTTGCTGCTGAGTATATAATAAAAATAACAATCTACGGAATACCTTCGTGTAGTTCCTGGTTCAGGGTTATATAGAGATAAATGTCATAACTATGGTGTGACCTTATGTGTTGT